TTAACATAAACTGTATTTGTGTATTTGTTGTTTGCAGCGTTTATAGCACAGAATTGCCTAAAAGAAATCATGTGGAGTATCTATTGGGGTTGAAATTGATTCGGTCTATAAAGCCGGCCCCAAGGGAGTAGTTACGGCAGTTAGCCGGCTCTCCTCTCTAAGCGACTCAGTGTTATAAATGCACAAGAGAAACAACGGTAATCAAGCCGGATCTCTTGAATACGAAACGGGGCCACAAGCGGCGAAAAAGAGAAAGACAACAGGTGGAATATTGATGAGGTTAACTTAATGCGGCAATCAGTCGGCCTCATTAGAGTTGTTACGGTAAACTGCGCCGGCACTCTTCTTAAGCGATTCAGTGTTAAAGGTGAAACGAGAAAAACTACGGTAATTGAGCCGGATTTCTCGTATTAACATTGGCCACAGGCGGCGAACAAGAGTAAAAGATTAAATGTGGAAATTTCATGGGGTAAATTCAATGCGGTAACTAGCCGGCCCCATCAGAGATGCTACGGTAAACTTGCCGGCATTCTGGCCGCTCGAGGCGTACTGAAGTTGGATGTGCGACAGAAAGGTCAAACCGTAAATTTTACCAGGGAGGCAAGCGAAGAAGTGCTTGAAAGCTAAAGAAAACTGGCTAAGTCCCTCCATGACCTTTAACGGAAGTTTTGACGAGTGGGATGACCTTTGGGATCATCAATTGCCCAACAGAGTCACCGTAATAGAATTCAAGTCGCATGACCTTTGGGATCATTAACCCAAATTGAGTCGCACATCTCAACGGATTGTCTTAACAAAGGATGACCTTTACTAGGGAGGAAGCGAACTACGCTTGTCTTCATTGACGTCCCTCCATGACCTTTATGGATCTCATTTTGAAGTCGTACAATCGATACGCACTATATTCCAAAGATGAAGCAGTATTCCTAAGTCGTACTTGATACGCACCCGATTCTCAAAGCGGATTGTGATGAAAGTCGCATTACGGATGCGCGAAGTTGCTCAACGGAGCGGAATGGATTAAAGTGCGGAAAACGGTGGACAGGACCTGTGACCTTTGCGAGTCAGAAATGGAGGATCCTAGTCTACAATTTGATTAATACTTTTGTTGATCTGTTACTGTTGATCTGTTCTAATGATTTGATAGTATTTTTATAATTGGATCTCTTTATTTCACATTGTATTAAATGGAATTGTGCCTTTACGGAATTGATGTGATAAAATGGATTAAGAGAAATTGATGTTTTTGAGCACACACAGGCACTCGGCGACCGTCGTCTTCTCGTGGATTCGGGAGTGTGTCCAGCCTCACAGGAGCTCGGCATCCCCCCAGAGGCATGTGAGACCGGGATCACTAGCGTTCACGTCAGTGGCGCTAGGCGCTACGCCTTTGGATTATGGCCTGTGTTGTGTCTCGCTTCTGATTGGCTTGTGTTTTGTTAGTGGGCGCGGCATAGCACGTGCTGCACAGCGTTGCACGCTGTTGAATGGGCTCCACGCTTTACGATCGAGCTGCGCCGATCATTGTTGATTTTCTGTTGAGCAGATTTGTCAATATTATTAAAAGTCAGCTATTAGCGGTGCGACGTTTCGCGATTCCGCGTAGTTCGCTATACTTATCGCATAGCTCACTCCACGGGATCTATTCCGTTTAGGTCTCCGTATCTGGATCACAGTTGGATCTAGCATTAGACTGTTATAAAAAGTTCAAAAATTTTCGCTCAATTATAAACTTAATTTATTGACGCCTAAATAGCAAAAAACGCATAATGACGAATAACACCGTAAATACTTACAGATACAGCAGATTTTTATTGTGATATAGAATTCTTAACGACAGTTCTGCGCAGTTCAGAGCATTTTTAGTGACCATAGACCATACGTTTTTTTATACGAGTTCACGTTGACGGTAACCACCTCGAAGATAACTGAGTATAAATTACGACGAAAAGTAAGTAATCTTAACACCGCCGTTGCTAAGTACGAAGTAAAATGCTACACGAGAATGTCCAAAAACACCACAAATTCCGTGCAGCAGCGACTGTACGGTCTTCTCATCTGGTTCACTTAAGTGCTTTATTACCATCTCCACAGGGTCTGAAAATTTCTAACGGCACTTGGACCAAAATTCACGAAACTGTAGCCCCGGTCACGGCAGGCGTCGGCAGCTGTGTTTCGTCAGCGACCATCTCTTGGTCTGGACCGCAGCAGCTTAAGGGGGGATCCATAAATTACGTACGCAGCGAACCAGGGAGGGAGGGGTCCAAAAAGTGTGACAAGCTGTGACGGCCTTGACGAACCCAGGGGGGAGGGGGTGGTCAGCTCCATGTATTACGATTGAGCGAACCAGGGGGGAGGGGTCAAGCAAACGTGACGGACCGCTACGAAGGGGGAGGGAGGGGTGAAAAAATTGTGGTTTTCTGCGTACGTAATTTATGGATGCCCCTAAAGCATCGACAAAGGCTCGACTGATGTACGAGGCCGCGAATATATTATCATGTCCCCACACGCAACATCCACGTCTAAAGGCTATGTGGTAACATAGGTAAGCTCGAGGAATGCAAGGAGAGAGTGAGCTATCGGGCTCAGTTTGAGCTCTCAAAATAACAAAGGAAGAAGTCTGTATTTGCAATAGTGCAAATAACGGCTGTTAATTATGTATTTCGAAATCAGCAGTATCGTAGGAAATTACGATGTCCGGTACGTTCGGACGCAGTCAAATGTTTTAATAAATGAAAATTAATGAAAGGTGAATCTTCGGCATTTCAACAATCGGTGGCAAACAGCGCAGACAGGAAGAGGGGGCGCACCTTCGAAGGCGTTCCCAGACACTACTGTTTATAATTTGGTGGCGCGTTAATGGCGTGTTGGAAGCTAACAGGTGCTGAACGACGCCAGCAAATGCTCCCATTGTGGAGAGCCACGTGTTTTGGTCAAGTGCGAATATCGTGTCAGGTCGGTTGAGGTATTAGACGAGAGCATTCACGATCTGTTGCAGCAGGAGTCAAGCGTATTCTAGCGACGGAAGATATCGTGTGCCATTCTTTGGCTCAGCAGGCGGAACTTTAGAATGAGCTGGATCTCATCGCCGGTATCGCAGCGTAATGTGCACATTTCCTGTAAGTCAACGCCATGTCGGTATACAACTATGCTCTAGATGAATATCTCAGCCAACTGATGAACCAAGAAAAACGGAAGTTGGTTGCCGGTGGGGATTGCCAGACACTAGAGGCCTGCAAAAAATTCTGCTCCGCTATGCGCATGAGCGCGATGTACTACAGATAAGGGCCGCTCTCAACAGTACAAGGGCCGCGGCTACCGAATTCACAGTCAAGTCGACAACAGAAGATATTAAACAGCTGTTGGTGCTGCGAAATAGGGGCCGCGGTTCCGTGAAATGAGGCCGACCTTCCAAACTGCAGCTACATGGAACCTATGTACCGCTCACGAAAGAGCGGCGGGATCGTTATGTGCCATTGGTACGCAATTCGTCTCCGTCGCCTTAGCGGTGTATCTGGCAGCGGATGGGTAGGTGACCATGGAGGAAACATCCACGAATGTGACCATTTTGTTTCTGCGAAATGCTCGCAGAACCGACACCGAGCCGAAATACAGCCAGGCGGAGCGTCAAAAGAAATATCAAAGTTGTTAACTGTTGTATAACTGGTGTGCCTCTGCTCCTCCTCCTGCCTAATGAATCCTCTGCTCCGATCAATTTGTCATAAACGCAGCGCGGCGTGGCACGGCTGCCGATTTACGGAATGCGGAAGCTTTCCATTGATTAACAACAGTTATTGCTCTTACGTGCTTAACTTTGAACAAACTGGATCAAGCAAACGTTTCGAAAACGAAGAATAAAATGCTCTCACAATTTCGATAAGAATAATTACAGTCATGGTTCGGTTAATATCCTTCCATCTCTAACCAGCATTCGCAATCTAAAACTTCCCAAAAGCACTAAGTAAGCAGTTAGAGTTGACATGCTTTAGTACAGACTGTACTCCTAAGTAAACGTCTCGATAGTCGATAGACAGCCTGCTGATTCTACCAGCCAGTTATCAGGTTGTGGTTTTTTCTTCCGAAATCCGTTTTTAGTTCAAATATTAACCGATAAGATGCGACAGCAGTTGAACATGGGTTTTTCAACGAAAGCGTTTGCTGCGAATACTATCCTTCGGTTTGGAGGGCACACTTCAAGAAAATATGCCGGTGAAAATGGTAACTGGTAACCACGAAATTCTGCAGCGCTTAAAACATTTGTCGACTGCGACAGACATCTGAAATCCTTCGGCATGACACTACAGTTTTGCCGTGCTACAATAAATCTTTTGAACTATCTGTAGCTTAACTGGCAAATTCAAAGCAAATCCGCAAACGATTCAGCGGTTCCTGTAGCGATCGCTTTGCGCATCCCGCCGACAGTTTGTGAAGGGTTATTTGCAAACCCGCTAACAACATATTTTTCAAACGCAATCTAGTGATAATTAAACTCTTAAACTCTTATTTATGCTGGGAATTAAACAATATAATTAATTCAATTAAAATTATGGCAGTTTTGATTATGCTGAGCATAATTGAAACTGGTCACTTTTAATTATACTTAAGCTTAATCATGAGTCAACTTATGCATATTATAAACAGCTTGATCAAAAGAAAACTGAATTTTAATTATGATAAGCAAAATTAAAATTGGACAATTTTAATTATGCTCCAGTTTAATTAAAATTGTTGAATTTTGATTATGCTGATCATAATTAAAATTCGATCAATTTTCAATTATGATAAGCATAATCAAACTTATAAGCAAAATAATTATGATGAGTTTAATATTCAGTAACGCAATCCTTGGAACCGAGCTACGATATTCGGCAGACATCAGATTTTAGAGATGACACGATGTGCTACTGTTGACACAGCTTGATCGGTAGTGCTGACGTAAGATGGATAATGGATATTGGATATTCATATAAAAAAAAACTTAATTAAAACGCCGATCGAGGCGAGCACACGGCAGTACAGATGGCTTATTTGTGAACCTATTTAAGTTATTTTGCAAATTATTATCAAGCGTAGCGGGATTTTGCTGTTAAGTATGCGAAAGTTAAAACCGCCGAATCTAGTCCACATTTCATGAGATTGACAGGAGGCAAGATTAATCACAAAAGAGCTATCGAATGCTCAACAAAATTCAGAAGCCATCGGCTGCGTATCCGTCAGTCAGGCGTAATCGAAGGAATTAACATGGCCAACCAGGTAAACATACACGTAGGGTACTTATTTCCTTATTGGCCAACATTTCTGACAATAGCTCGGATCAGCATTAAAACGCTGGCTGCGCATTCGATCACCACCAGGATCTTGCGCTTGAATACACGTACAGGAAAACGCCTTCCTTTTCTTGATTTGGTTCCAGCACGACGGACAGTATTTGTTCCGCGGGACGTGACTCGACCAGTGGAACCCTTCCTCATTAGCCAGCTGTCGTCGACCACACCCAGTGCACACAGCCGGTGCAACCGTCTTAAATGGCCACCAGCAGACAGTGCAGTAGGCCTTATTGCTGCCGTCCATCCACCAATGGACGCGTTCGCCGTTGGGTCGCTGACGGCGGCCGCAACACGCACAACACAGAAGGTGGCTGTTGCACATGTGGTTCCAGCACGTGCGGCAATATTTGGTCAGCGGATCCTCAGCCTTGTGGTAGAACGGATCGGCATCGCTGCGCTGGACACGAGCGCAACCGGCACAATGCGCTGCGAAAGTTTCTCCGTGAGTAACGCGAGCGAAGCATTTTGCTGGCTTTTGCTTCTGCTGGGCCGATGCCGAATTAGATAAAGGAAGACGAAGAAAATCAGCACAGCTGGCAATGTGCAGATCCGATGTCTGCAAAGTTATACTGCACGTTTAGCGGGATTAAACTCAATTCAGGTACACAGGTACCTTTCTACTTCCAACGTAGTGCTTTCGAACCTAAAGGACACAAAACCGTTGAATTTATCACATACACGGATACTGAATTACTGATAGATCAACTGCTACCATTAGCCTGACTGCACACCTTAGCCCAGCACGACGCGCAGTATTTGCTGTCTGGTGAACGCACCAGCCAATGAAAGATGTCGCTGTTGACTTGCTGGATACGTCTGCACCCCGTACACAAAGGCGCCAGGCCGCTGGGTGGATTTTTGGGCAATAAAGATTGAGCGATCCACTGCAGCATGCCTCTCCAGCGTGGCTCCGCACCAATCGCAGCGCTTGTTAGTGGAACTTCCACTTTTTGATGATATTCCTGTAGGTCTCTTCCCTGTTGTCACAATTTTCCTTTTCTGACATGGCAGTTCAAGTCGCAGTAAAAAAATTGAACGGACCTCGCTTTACCGTTAAGAGCGGATGTTGTAGCAAAGCCGCCGCCGTGGGGCGGTCCGCTGCCGTTAATCGAAAGCACGAATCCAGGAAGTCTTTACCAGTACGCAGAAACTCCTTTGAATCATGGCATCCTTTCCGACCCAGTTTCTGGGGATCCTCCTTCGACCCCGGGTGAAAATAACAAGGTTTTTCTCCTGTAGCGAGAGCTGCCTCGATCTCCGGTAGTCGTACCATCAGCATCATTTTGCCGCGGCTTTCCCGGCGGTAGAAACGCGGTGCATGTCCGTGCAGCATCTCCAGCAATACACAACCTACACTCCATACATCGCTGGCCCGACCACAACGGCCGAATACGCCGGAAAAGCGCTCCGGTGCCATGTACACTGTGGTGCCCGCGGCGCCGTTGACTTCGCCGGACGCTGTGACGGCGCCTTGTATTTTGGTGATTAAACCGAAGTCAGCCAGTTTCACCACGCCGGTTGTCGTGATGAGGATGTTGCCTCCTTTGATATCCAGGTGGACGATTCCGTTCCGGTGTAAGTACTGGAGACCTCGCAAAATATCCTTCAAATCGCGTACGATGTCGTGCTCCTTCAAGCGTTGCTTGCTAGCCGCTAATGACTCATTTCTCCCTGCTAGGTTGTGACCTAAATGAAAGGCAATTTGTCAGACTTATTTGAACGTGCAGCTGCCCATCCTCCTTATACTTCACATTTCCGCGTAAATTTCTGACTGCAGAGATTAAAAGATGTAGGCCTTAATAAATCATAAAAAACGGCTTAGAATTTTCTTACAAAACGCACCAAGGCCGTTTTCAATTTGATAAAAAAAAGGGCGGAACCAATTAAACTACTTATTTTTTCACAAAACTGTTAGAACTTTTAGAAACTTCCCGGTTCTGTGCAGACGATTCCTGTTCGTAGCAATTGGGGTTTTTATAATTGAGTTTTTTTTGGCGAGATGTAGTGTACGAGATACTCGTACAATCTTTGTAGGAGTACTACATACACTACACTAGTGTATGTAGTACTCGTACAAAGATTGTACGAGTATCTCGTGAAATGGATAATGGCTTATGGCTAATGTGCCGTAGCAACGGTATTGTTGTTGTCCGTTATTGTTGCCATGTCTAGTGTTTAGTTGGTTGTTTGCTGCTGTCCCGAGCGGACATACCAAAAAATTATATGTAAAAGGCTCCTGCTTGTAGCGGACGTCATCACGCGTCCTAAGGCTGAGCGCACGTATCCGCGTATGCGTGCATATTATGCACACGTATGAAGACTTAGCGACTTTTAAAACTGAAGCAATTCCAGTCCATTCTGCTTTCACAACATAACTGGAATCTAGAATATTCGGACACCAGAAGTGAACTCGCACAGCTATGAGCCATAAAAGCAATTATAACTGCTATTAGCTCATGATATAATTAACAAAAGTGAACATGTTTTCTTCGTCCTGAAACATTATTAGACCAAACAGGATATCATTGAAAATCAATTCAATTTTTTTTAAGCAGACAAATACATTCGAGTACCACAGTTTTGCGAACTCATCGTGGGTTTTTGCAAGCTGCCTCAAGATAATAAAAAACTCAAGATAATGTCACGTTCTTGGAATAATTTAAAGAAAACTTTCAAAAGGCAAGATCCATTGGTCGCTTATTTTACAAATTCCAATAAATTCTAGACATGGCTGTTCTTTAACGGCAAGGCAATCTACAGGCCAAAGTGTATAAGTCCATTTAAGTCACAGCGTACAGCATAGTTTATCCCATAGTGAACTACATAGTTGATCCCACAGTTTATCCCGCAGTAAACCACACAGTTAACCGCACAGTTCTTCCAACAGTAAACCCCACAGTGTATTCCGGAGTTCTTCGCATATCGTTTTCGCGTGCAATTCAATCCGTAGTAAACAATACAATATATTCCACATAAAATCTCAAACTTTTTTTATTTTATTTTGCTGTACAATTTTACAAACAAAACAACTACTTACTAAAGTTTGTATGCAGATTAATGCAGTTGCCGACTCGCGTTTCTACGTTTGATCTGTGTGATCTGCAATGTTAAATAAATACATAAGTAACCTCATAACAGTTGAATTATTGCATTTAGTATTCAATATAATTTTTTATAAGCACAAACTTCAATAGAATTTATATCTGCAAACAGTTTCTGAATTATTATTGGGATCAAAACATTAACGAAACATCATAAATCAAGTACTTTTATGACTAGCCAAAATGCTGTAAATTCGATTTCTTTGAAGGAACTACCGAAACAAACATGCCGGAAAGAAATTTACTTTGCACGCCTGCCAGTGTTCCTAATAATAGCGTTTACGAATTGCTCACAGTTGTTGCGCAAATACTCAGCAGAAGTGATTGTGAATAAATCATCATTGTTTTAAAACTACTTTAATATAAATGTTTGTTTGAAAATGGTAGTGTTTTAAAGAATACTGCAAGAAATATTGCTACAAAAATATTGCAAAATAAAATAAAAAATCCTGAGATGTTATGTAGAACATATTGTATGGTTTAATACGGATTGACTTGCAAGGGAAAACGTTATGCAAAGAACTCGGGAATACACTGTGGGGTTTACTGCTGGACGAACTGTGCGGTTAACTGCGTGGTTCACTGCGAGATAAACTGCGGGCTCAACTATGTAGTTCACTATGGGATAAACTGTGCGGTACGCTTGGATTAAAATGTCTACACTTTGGCCTGTAGATTGACTTGCAGTTAAAGAACAGCCATGTATAGAACTTATTGGATTTTTTAGAACTAAACGCGACCCATGGGTCTTGCGTCTTGAAAGTTTTTTTTTCATATTATTCCAAGAACATGATAATATCCTGAGATTGTATTGCCTTGAGGCAGCAAAAACCCACGATTGTGGTACCCGAATGTATTTGTCTGAATAAAACGAATTGAATTACTTTTCAGTGGCATTCTGTTTGTTTTAATAATATTGCAAGACTAGGAAAAAACGTTCACTTTTGTTATTTATATCAAGAGCTAATAGCAGTTGTAATTGCTTTTTCATTTTCTTATGGCACATAACTATGCGAGTTCACTTCTGGTGCCAGAATATTCTAGATTCCAGTTATGTTGTGAAAGCAGAATGGACTGGAATTGCTTCAGTTTTAAAAAGTCGCTAAGTCTTCATACGTGTGCATAATATGCACGCATACGCGGATACGTGCGCTCAGCCTTAGGACGCGTGATGACGTCCGCTACAAGCAGGAGCCTTTTACATAAAATTTTTTGGTGAGCGGACATAGCAGCAAACAACCAACTAAACACTAGACATGGCAACAATAACGGACAACAACAATACCGTTGCTACGGCACATTAGCCATAAGCCATTATCCATTTCACGAGATACTCGTACAATCTTTGTACGAGTACTACATACACTACACGAGACTAATTACAGAGATCATATTATAACCGAATTCGCGGCAGTTCTTTTGAATGTTGTTCGGTATCATTGCATTATTGCAGCAGTCGGCTGCCACGCCCGTAGCGTGACCGAATTGTTTACTTACTATAAACGTAATTTATTTATCAATATGCAAATCCATGAGCGCCACTCACTATATACTATAAAATTATGACTTTCGTTGCAATATGCTACTGCGTGTATAATTTCGCATGTAGCCGCTACAAAAGAACGGCGGTCGTTGACCTAACTGCGCGTCCGCTGCTTATTATACTAGTTCCTGTTAAGCAGCAAATCAGCAAAAGACTGTCTAAAGACGACGCAGAATTATTAGAACAGGAAAGCACGATTTTGTTTAAAAAGGAGTTTTATTTTACTTTGCTTTCATTTTGTTCTGAAACTACTTATTTATATTTCACTCTGTGTTTTATATATTTTTATTTTTTTTTCTTTTCATATTTATCTGCTTTGTTCGCCGGCAATATAAAATACTCCGAACTACTAATTTTACCGTTGCAGTATTCCATGAACAGTCGCACTTCCGGTCCAGCATCCCACCGTGCGACATCGAAATAATAGTATCGAACGACATTGCGGTGGGGCCGCGCGCTGAGCTTGACAATGGTCTTGAATTCGTGGAGATGTTTACGCAGTTCAGCGTCTGGTGTGCCGGAAATCACCGGGATGGCCTTGACCGCGTACGTCTCTTCTGAACTCTCGTCGGTGACCTTGTAGACAGCCCGCGACAGTCCGCCATGGCCGATGGGTTCTTCCAGTGTGTAAGGAAAGGGCGGCCGGAATTTTGCTATTCCCCAGTTTCGTCGAAACGGGAATCCGAACATAACAAAAATTATTATAGCGGGTAAAGCACTATTATAGCTTCGACCTCAGATGTCAGGAATACGGCAATGGGTCGCATTAATGTGTGAGGCGAGCCATTATCAGGCAAAGATTATTCATTCTAAATCACGGAAGACTGGTAAATGCGCTCAACGTGAATCGAACATACCGAGCCACGCTGCGAAGTGCCGATGCGTTGACACACTTGACACACGTGATGCATGGCCAGACAAAAGCGTGATCAGAAGATGCAAGTAGTGATTGCCATGTACAAGGCACGCTTTGCTGCGATGTACAAAAGTCGGTTGACGAAACTTTTAATGCAAGCGCACTTTGACGGTGTTCTGAATGCCAGCGTTGAAATACGGATTGCAATCGGCCTATGATGTGCTACGATGTATCTGCATTCTGTTAACTTGTTTATTTTTGAGACAATTATCAGACGGTGTGCGCTCATTGCTCACCGTCAAACTTGTTTGACTAAGCACTATTGCACTAGACAAAAGCATCATACGTAAAAATTCATCATTATTTCGCAAAGCGCAGTTTTTTTTATGGCATATTGTTAGTTACTACTTATTACATATCAGCAGATTCTTTACCACTGACAAGGAAAGGAAATTTTGGCTTCGTTTAACGCTGTACTTATTTCTACGACATAAAGATCTGGCAGATAATAAAAGCGTTGCACGAAGATGCGTCAGAAAATAGAATACTTAACACATGACAAAGCTAGCAGTTACGCTAACACCTTGGAGGCTTGTACGATGTGTCAGACTGACTGTCGCCGAGTATAGTTACTTCTTGTCTGCGAAGTTTGTCACTGATTTTAAGTTCAAACCGGCTTCGAAGACAATCATTAATCACTCCTTTGTATACAACTGTGCCTGCGATCATAGTTTAAAAGCATATCCACTATAATGCTTCCGGCTACACCGCAGTAACGGGTTGCGTAAATTTACAGTTCTCAAGCGAAGAAAAAATGCTGTCTCGGCCTGCTTAAGCCGGTTGGAAAAATGGGACTGGGACATTTCCTTTTAGGTTTCCGGGATCCTCACCATAAAAACTCATGCTTTGGGCAGTGGTTTCGCCTGCTAATTTCCTTCGCTCTTTTTACCGTGTTGCTGGCGTTGTGGGATGTAAGCAGTGATGTTATTTTCATTGTCGGTTTGTGGTGGCACAACGGGTGCGCCATCGCCATTCCATGGTTGATATTCATTACCGCGGTGCCGGTTTTCCCGGTGGTGTCTTCGCTGGTGAAGGGTGGTTTCGCTCAGCATGAGAACGGTGCCAAAGCGGCATTTTGGAACTGGCGGTTGGCGCGACAGAAACTCATCCAGTCGGAAGAACGCCTATTGTCGACACGAGCCGGAGAAAAAGTAGAAGTCCAAGAACCACCGTTTTTGAAGAACTGCTGTCGGGAGGCGGTGTGCAATATCGTGGATATTTTTCCCATCTCCTTTTTTCGTCGGTAAACGTTTAAAAGATGTTTATAAACCTACTCTAAAAACGAGAAGTAATTCTACAAATTACCGAGTTTTGTAGATAATTACGCGAATAAAATTGCTAAGTTAAGAACAAAATTTAATTGAAAATTTCTTTTATTTATTTTATTGAAATGCTTTAATTAAAAAATTATACAGTAATAGTTTCGCAATTTAGCGTTCATTTAGGAAATATTTTGCTCAAGATAAATAATAAAAGATAATTCGGCATCGCTTAAAGATAATTAAAGATAATTTAGCATCGCTTTTGTTAATTATTTTCTTCCAAGAATTTTCGAATCTTTTTTTCAACAGCAATTTGATTATATCTGCAATTTTTGGGGAGCAGGTGCGTCAAATTTGTGCAAGCTTGGAAAAACGCTCCGCAGTCCGTCAAACACTATTCCTACAATAAAGACATCGAATTCCAGGATATGCAGCTGCAAAAAGCGCAGCTAACCGAAATCAAATACGAATCTAGCCCGCAGCTGATAATTTTATTGCTTTTAATTGGCACCGGACTATTTCCGCTCCGCAGCGTCTGGTACGCCGCTCTGGCGTCGTTTTTCTCCATCGCCAAATATTTCCCATCCTCCGCTAAATTGCCCGGCAAATGCGCGTTCAATAACCGAATTTATCTGGAAAAAGACAGTATTAGTTTGAGCGAAGCTAATAAATTGTTAAAACCAAGGCTTTTTAGTATTTGCGGAACTTTTATGAATTTCTTCTACATTATTTGCCGATATCATTTGATTATTTCCCTGACGGTGTACAACTGGGTGGCCTCGCTGATGGTTACGGGAATTCACTGCGCCATTGTAACCGTGTTTCTGATTGGATCCTACCGGCAATCGTATCGGCAAGAATCGCACACTGGCAAGCAAAAGCTTACCGGACGAATTTGCGCGTTTATCACTCAGCTTCTGACAACTCTGGGATACTTTCTCTTAGTACCGGTGACCACAACGATGACTACGATGGGGTGTCTCTTGGCGACCATTCTTCAATTGGTGGCGGCCGGTGTCTACGCTTTGCTGGTTCATGTTGAATGGCGGAAAGAGATACACTGCCGGGACAGTGACATCTTCCACGCGGTGGTGCCGCGATCAGTTTGGTTCTACGGACTATTGGCCGGCAATGTTGTGCTATCGCTCTTATTGCCGGTTATTCATTATGTGGTCAACTTGTGCACCGATTCCACGCTCTGGCTACGTCACAGAAAAGACTGCTTTGAATGTGCAGGTAAAAATCCAGTAAACCAAATTTTGAAGTTTGCTGCCGCTCGAATGCTATCGAGGCGTGATTTCGTTAAGGAATTCCGTGATTGCAAGTGTAAAAAATTTGTGTGCCGGTGATTCCCAAAGCTAAAGAAGCTGCACTGAAATACCACAAACATCTGGCTAATACGAAAACATTTACGTTCACGAACGTTTATTAGCACTATAGAAACAATGTCCAGTCTTTGGTGCGAAAACTGTGTCGTTCTGTTGTAGAGTTCGCATTCCGCTATTGTTATCATCGGCCGTGTTGGCTGTGCGAATGGGTGCGGTGTCATGAAGAAATCACTCAAGAGGAGGAATTAATAGCACAGAATGCTCAGCAGATGCTGCCCCTAGTGGAATCCATCCACAGTCGAGTGCCAGTAGAATTTCTAGAGAAGTCTCTGGTTAATGAACAGTCCCGACAGATTGCCGCTTTAATCGCGTCAGTATACAAAGGCGCCAAGGGAGATTTCCTGTTGTGCACAGAGCACACAAACCAACTGAGCGATGATCATAACCAAGCAGTGGACAGCGTTACTATGGCACATATTGAATTACGTATCGCCAACCATGACAGCCCCGTTGTTGAGCTGTCCGATAGTATGGAGCCGGAATCGGTGGCATTTAGCGGGGATCTCCGCACGTCGATGCATACGTTCCTGCGCGCGCTGTACTCGGAGAAATTTTTGTATAAGAAACTCGCGTATCAGTTGTTTTTTAAGTCAAAGTTTTACGATAAAGGAATTGTGTCACGTGATGAGCAGGATGCGTACTGGGCAGAAGTGAAGCAATTACGAAATGCGCATGTTTCCTGTGGAAAGCACTGCCGGTTGAAGGTGAACCGCTCTGAAGGCTCCAAAAAGCTGAAACTTGAGATTAAGCCGGATGGTTTGCCGGGGTTCGATTGGCGGCTCGATCGGATTGATAGCAACGGGAGCGTCGTTCCGGATGATATGGAGTACGAGTACTTCAACGATGAAAACGTTTTATCTATCGATGATGCCAAGGCCAAAGATCAGCCGGTGCAGGAATGCCCGCTGAAGGAGTATCAAGGGCGAATATGACTGTTTGGCCGGATCGGCGAGCTGGTGTGCTAGTCGATTCTGTTACGATGCCAGCATCCTGGACTGTACAGAGGTCTTTTGGACAGCGTGTTGATCGGACATGTGCGGTGCCTGTGTGAATGAACCATTTACAACTTGTGATTTAGTGGAGGATTGTCTGTGTGTGGTGGCTTGTATATATTATGTTAAAGGCGTTCATCTGTGCTGTGCATGCTAGATAGTGTCACTGAGGAATGATTGATTACTCTATTTTGTAGCACTTAGGCTTTCTTGGCCGATCGCATCTTGTTATTGTAGCCAAGGGTCAAACTGTTGTTCTCATGTTCTATGTAGACCATGCTGCGGTTTAGTACATATAGACTTATTGAGTCGCAGAGCTGTAAGAAAGTTACAGCTGTCACCAAGTTTATTAAACGATTATTCGTTTAGTCAGCGTGCTTCTGCACAGCGTATGTTAGGGATTAATCAATTCGTTGGGATAAGATTTTATGGGACTCTTATGATTTACTCGAACGGTCAACAATGTGCAGCACTAAATGTGAGCCAACTGACGACATAACCGGATTGACCGTACCGTATACGGCTAGCCCATTGGAAAACCGTGTATTTGGCATACGGTTACGGACGCCGTACGGTACTTTCGTTACGGTACCTGTGCTGCTCTGCAGTACAGTATGCCGTTTACGGCAGTACAGTTTTCTGTTTGGGGGCTTTAGGCAGAACATGCCACTACTGGAAGAAGTAGTTTTGCAAGCCACATGCAGTGGCACTGACGTCAAGAGTGTTGTGTCCGCTGTACTATGCCACACTGTACTTGTACTGTGCTTTAACTACTCGGCCTTTGAAAAGTGGATCCGTGCCACTTGCCAGACTGCCAGATGCCGTGAGCTGCGTGGTGTGAACGTAAACTCGTACAGCGGCACGTACGCACGCACGTGCAGAAAACTACAGTATGCGCACGTTGTCGCTCTGACCAGAGTCACTCGATCTGGTGATTTGCTATTTGAGCACACATTTACCTTTCATCATAATATTCACTTTCGCTTTTCCGTGATTAATCGTGTTTAACACACATTGTCTGCTTTTACTTTTTAACGCAGTCAGACATTTCTATGGACACCCCCTCCGGACCCTATGAGCATATCGCCCCCCTCCCGCCCCGCCTTCTTTACTGGCGCTGTTGCTGTGGAAGGAGCTTAATCCCTTCCCAGCCGCGCTGCAGCTGCGCCAGAAACTTTCCTCCCACCGGCATCTCGTCCAGCGTCTGGGCCTCTACGCCACCCTTGACCATCATACCGGTATTATTCGTCAGAAAATCCTCAAATACTGGAGAATTACTTAAGTCCCGACGTTTGGGCAATCGTGCAACGATATACCTATGGCGCAAGTAACTACCTTCGAAAGTGTATGAGTGTTTGTTAAAAATGTTACCGCGACTGTGCAGTCCAGACTCCAGAGAGGGAGTTATCTTTATTCGAATCGTTTTTCGTAACTTCACTGGTTCCCTTGATCCCGAAACTAAAGATACAGGTTTGTGGAGAATTGTATCCTCTACTTTAAGATTCTGATGAACTGTTAAGAAACCTATGGACCTTCAGAGTGGAGCGAAAAGCAGGAAAGTCAGCTGGTATTCCTTGCTACGCATGGATGTGGCCACTGCTTTTACATGGCTCCAGGTGCCGTAGTGATGCGAAATTGCGAATAAACTCACACTAAAACTTCTAAAATGCAGTGTCCGCTATCATGAACGCAACATTAGCGGAAGTCAATTATATACCTCTCGGAAAGGTCACCACTGGGCCATATGCTTGTTTTAATTGGGATTCACGGCTACAGGATGCTGATGTGCTTTTTTCTTTGCCATAAGAAAACCATGCATCGAAATTGCGCCCGCCTATACTTTAGGACCATACATGCCTAATGGTGTCTGCGCGCAACACGAGTTTTTGATGGACTATGGCCATTTGTTGCTTAACTTTCAGGACCAATGCTCAACATTCCTAATAAAGCGTTACTGATTGTACAAAAAAAAAAATACAACCTTTATTTCGATTTCACCCAAGCATGCGTGCCTGGCATTTACTACATTACGATCTCCCTATAGCCGCGCAAAAGAACAGGACAGTACTATTACAAGAATACTGATGCAAAAGTTGACTTGCTTATGTTGGTTAATATATTTTTGCGGTCGTTTAGTCTCCCGGCATTGAAACCCAAAACCTCCGTTTTTAAGTAGCTTAAGATACAAGTACGATTTGTTTTTCTGTTTCTACTGTAAGTCCTGTAATGCTAATTATCCTATGACATATTGATTAACAATGCAAACTTGAACTAAGGTTCAGGAAGCAGCCGCAACTGTTCTGAAGATTCGAATGACTTATCAAATTGTGGCATGCATTTGAGTCAATATTAAGCAGGTTGCGGTATCAACGAAGGGGTACGATTGACGATAGAATTAACGACGGAGTACAATTAACGAACGTTTAAACGGCAGTACCCGTCGTTATTAACGAAACGAAGGGGGTATCGTTTCGTTAATAACGACGTTGAAATTTAGTAATGAACGACTGGGCCCATATAGACCATTGAGCACGAAGACTGCGCAGGCGAGACAGTGTACCCAGTGAATTTCTGCCTGGGCATTCAATCCTGAGTTGCCCACTCGACTCGAATTTTTCGAAAATCACAACAGTACTGCTCGAATGTTAGTGCTGCCAATGGTCTCTTTAAACTTTTCACTTATATGGCTTACTTTTTACTTTAACTTTCACAATTGTAAAAATTATTCCATATAATAAAATACAGTAATTCGAGTAGTTTACTATTGGAGTAGCAGTGTACGGAGACTGTACTGAGGCCTCTGAGAAACGAAGTCCTGCATTCAAGAATGGAATAAGTGGATAACACTGCTTTAGAATAGTGTTTGCGTGAAAACGTTCATACACGTGTTAACCTTATGTTTTTCTACCACAAAAAATCTTTATTCTGTTACTTTCACGGTGCAACATGAAATCGTTTCGGTATCGATACAAAAAATTAAAAAATGACTGTCAAAACACAACAGTTCGCCACGCTAATATCTATCGCTGTTAATTGTTTAGTGCATAACGCAACCTCTTATGCGAATCACCGGGGCCTTAAATTAACAACGCCAAAACTGTCGTTAATTTTGCCGTTAATCGTCCGGCCGTGCAAAACGCAACCTACTTAATATCGACACTAACCCACAAGACAACTGTTGCTAAGGCAGTGAGCGCCGGTACAATTCGAAACGACAACTTCCGCTCAAGTAAATTAACCATAATTAAATGCCGCATTTAATTGTACATTAATTGCCAAGGGTAATTAAGAAGAACCTTTCGAAGACCATGTTGCGCCCTAACACCAATGGTCGTAAGCTCACAAAATGCTTGTTAGCGGGTTTTAAAGTGGCACATCACAATTTGCAAATTGTCGACATTATTCGCGGCAAGCATTCTGCTAAGTTCTCCGGCATGGCAGTGCCATTTTCTCAAGTCACGAAGGCACTCTCGAAACCAACCGGATCAGCACATTTAAAGTTGAAGCATGCGTGTCACGAATTAGTACGGTAATACGCGGCAGTTTGCTGACGATTGCGCCTCGCATACCTTCTCCGATTTTTCAAGTGCTATTTGTAAAACACACTAACAAGCACTTTGCCGGTATGCTTTCTTGGAGCGCATTCCTTGGAAGCGAACTACACTCTTAGGCAGGCATTAGATTTCAATGGAGACACCATTTACTGCTGCTGACGCAGCTGAACGCTTATACGACGGATGGCAGTACATAAAGCGGGTATACACAATCCACAATTCATATCATTAATACTTTCGACTTTAAACGTAAATCTGCAATAACGCCATATCGCTGCAACATTTACCAATGCCGCTCTTACTTCCCCTGTTTTTTTCCCTCGTGGTGGCGTGCTACAGACGTTGCTTTATATTGCACTTGTATCACCTGCCGACAATTTAACCTGCAACCAAGAAATGCTGCAACCAAGAAAATACCCTTACTCCTAGATATCGCGGATATACGGAGAGTTACCCGCATCTCTGTTTACTGACCGGGAAGGGCAGCACCGCTGAATCATGCAACATGGTATGAGTGGCTGTACAGTCCTTATTCGAGGAACATGTTCTTTCTGCTGCAGCACTGGCAGTGTCCATGCAGGAATGGTAAATGCGGTTAGAACGAATGTTTAAACGCGCAGCACTAATTCGATGGTTCTGTACCCTGCCAACAAACGTTCAGATTTGCGTCCTTAAACCTCCAACTCAATTCAGTGGAGTCTATCATCCACTACTGTCCCGCAAAACCAGGCAAGCAAGCATCAGACGACCTGCCACAATAAACGGTTGTGGCGACTGTAAGAGGCTTGCCTGACCACATCCCACCTTTCGTCAAGCAGTAAAGTCCGCCCTATTACTCTTCGAACCAAAATTCTACGGAAAAAAACATCTATCCAGCATATGAGCAGGAAGCTAAGCAGACAAAAGTGCGAAACTGTTGGAACCGCATTTGTCCGGCGGGATACTGTGGTGCTCTAAAGACGGTCAAAGCATAAACGAAATTTCCGCCGCCGGGTTTGTCGAGTTTTTATTGGCATCATCCCGGATATAAAACAGCCCGAGTGCTCTGAAGGTGCGAGTGTATTTTCTTTCCATTCCTGAAGCTGCGGGGAGGGAAGTGGAGTGTCGTACACGGAAGGACGAAAATGACGGGACGAAATTGACTGGATGGACTGGCAGGCCTGTCCGGACCCTCCGGTTGGGACAAGCTTGTCAGTCCAGCTTGCCAGAATCATCCTGGTTAAGATCTTCTGGATTGCTTTTCCAGATACAACAACCAAATAACGGAGTTTTCATAAGTAAGTTTTTCTGCACAGACCTTCTAAATTAAACACGACCAGTGAGAATGTTCTGCGGTTAGTAAGAGGTGCGTTTTTATGCACCATAGTACGTAACCAATGCCGTTTTTTGTTGTTGTTGTTGTTTGTTGTTTTTGTTTGTTTTTGTTTTTTTTGTTGTTTGTTTTTGTTTTTGTTGTTTTTGTTAATGCCGGTAATTTTATTACATGATTTCATATTTATTCAGTGCGGAAATTATTTTGTACAAATTTGTTAAGAGTGATACATAAATTAAATTAAAGCCACACCGTGCACAAGTAAAGGCAGGGATTGGGTGAACGGTATTCCCGCTTTGTGCGGCAGTCAGCTGTTATTTTCCTCAATAGATTTTTGAAAACGCTTTTATTAATGTTGTTAGCTGCGTCTGTCAGCTGTGGGAAGCTGATGATATCGGGAAGTTGAATGCCGGTCAACATGCTGCTTGTATAGTGTAGCTGTGTGTGTCATGCCGGGAGCGGCTGTACTTATCACAGCTGTGAAATCGCTCGGTAGAAGAGGCTATTTTTATTTCATTCGACTGCGTTCAATTCAAAACCGGTTTGTTGGAGCTGACTTGCACATACTCGTACTTTCAGCAACATTAACGGCTGTTTTACCAATCTAGTAAACTGAATGAAGTTTACAAGGCTTTCCCTGCACCACAGGAATGTCTGTCAGCCATTTCTTCTATGGATTCCAGAACCCGCATCACGCATCATCGGCCACTTTTCAATGGATTCGTTTAATCTTCCTTTTCGGCTGCTTCACCGTTCTTCTAGCCCTTTTAGATATTGCCAGCGATGTGTTCTTTATTATTAATTTATGGTGGGAAAACAAATGCGCCATTGCTGTTGTCTGGCTGTTTTTCATCACGGCAGTGCCGTTTTTCCCTGTTCTTTTCTCCGCAGTAAAAGGGCGCTTTGCGACCCATCAACACTGGGCGAAAGCTGCTTCACTGAATTGGCGTTTAGCTCGACAAAATCTCATCAAATCCGAAGACCATTTGCTGGTTACGAAAGATGGAGAACGGATTAGAGCCGGAGAAACGCTGCCGTTCGAACAGTGCTGCCATCCAGTATTTGCATGCATTCTGGACATCTTTCCCGTTACATTTATCAACCGGTAAACTTTAAAAAAATTTCGCAATCAATAATTTCATTAAATATCAGTTAGTTCTGTTTTTCTTTGCATCCTTCATAAATGCTTATCAAATAGATCCCTTTCTAAAAGTCTTTCTAGTAATTTGCAAAAATTTTCAAGATAAAAAATGTCATCAAATCTTCTTAAAGTTTTCTTCTTCAATTATTCCATTTCATATTTTTTAATATGTCTATATTTCATTTACCAGTATTTTTTTAGTATTCATTTAGTTATGTTTTCTGATATTCCATCGAATAATTTTAAATTGATCACAATTTTTACATAACCAAAAATTATGCTGTTTAGAATTCAGTTTTTTGTGTTAATTTGATTTTTTGCCATCAGATGCGTATCATACGTACGAGCGTGGAGAAATTCCGGGGAACTGACTAATCATTATTCATATAGCAAAGACATAGAATTCCAGGATCTGCAAGTGCAAAAAGCGCAGCTCACCGAAATTAAATACGAATCGAATCCGCAGCTAATTATCTTGCTGATCCTCACCGGAACGGGATTGTTTCCTTGGGGGAAAGCCATTATCACCGCAGCCCTGTCCTTCTTGTCCATCGCCAAATATTTTCCATTCTGCGCAGCACTTCCCGGCAAATGCGCCTTCAACAATAAAATTTTCCTGGAGAAAGACAGCGTGGACGTGAGCACCGCTAATCAGCTGCTGAAACCGCATTTCGCTGCCTTCTGCGGATGGATCACGAATTTCTTTTACATTGTATGCCGGTATCATATTCTCATCTCATTGACCGTTTTTAACTGGACCGCGTCTCTTCTGGTGATTATCATCCAGACAGCCATCATTACCGGGTTTTTATCGTTTTCCTATCGCCGGAAGTACTCCACTCTGGAAAACATGGGCAAAGCATGGAAACGGTCTGCTGGGACAATTTGCGCATTCATTAGCCAGCTGCTGACCACTTTAGGCTATTTTTTATTGGTGCCGGTGACGACCACGATGACAATGCGGGGGTGTGTCCTGGCGACCATCCTCCAAGGAGTGGCAATTGCGGTGTACGCGATCGCCACGCACTTGGACTGGAGAAACGGGATCCGGTGTAACGGCGGGTCGGCGTTTGTAATTCCTCCGAAATCCGCCATGTATTGGGCGCTACTTGCGGGGAATATTGTGGGGTCACTCTTCTTGCCATTTCTGCATTATTTAATCGGTCTCTGCACCGACAAGAGTTTCTGGCTTAGTCACCGCGAAAAGTGCTCACAATGCTCTGGTACGATTTTTTTTGTATTTCTCTATACGTCTACTTTTTTTATTTTATTTATAATAATTTGCTTTATTTATTTTTTTGTATCGATATTTATCTTTGGACGTTTAACATTTATGATATCGATGAAATGCTTGATTTTGATTTTTTTTCAGTTTTTTGACATAACTGTTGATCAGCTTTTTATCTTTATTTAAATTTTTGTATGTATTTACAGATTTTAAAGATCGTTATTGCCATTACCGGCCGTGTTGGCTGTGCGAATGGGCGTGGTGCGATGAACAGAATCCCGATCAAGCGCAGCTGATTATTACACGGACACCAGTGCCGTTTCTGGAGAAAAGCCTATTGACTGATAAATCCCAGGAAATTGTGGCAATCTTGGCAACCTTAGGCGGGGAAGAGGATAGCGATTTTCTACTATGCAAGGAACACACGGCAAGCCTAAATCAGTTAAGACCACCTCGTCCCATTGAAAGTAACCCGGTTGTTATGACGGATATTGGAATCCGCTCGGTCGCTGTTGAACCGAATCGCAACGTGGTGGAACTATTCCATCCTACTTCGCCCGAGCTCGCGGATTTTAAAGCGGATCTACATACTTCCCTGCACGCGTTTCTCCGCGAGTTGTATTCTTTAAATTCAAACGATCGGCTAATAAAGCAGATACCATACCAGATATTCTACAAGTCGAAACTGTACGATCACGGAATTAAAAAGCGGAAGGATCAAGATGCGTACTGGGTGGAAATCAAGGAATTACGGAGGAAACATGCGGCCTGTGGGAAGCAGTGTCTGCTGAAAGACTGCATTTCCGCTGGCTCCAAGAAGCTTAAATTAACCATTGAACCACGAAATTTACCGGCATTCGAATGGCGTCTTGACAAGTTTGCCACCAGTAACGCGGCGAACGGAAGTGCAACAACTGCGGAAATGGAAAACGGTGCGACCGCCACCGAGGACAAACCAGATGAAATGGAATTAAACCCGACTGGTAATAACAAGGAAGTCGCAAGCGGTGAAAAGGAGAATAAAGCGACGAACGTTATACAGAAAGTCGTACCCGATGAAATGGAGTATGCCTTCTTCAGTGAAGCCAACGTGCTTTTGCTGGATTCAACGGAAATCCACGAACCGGTACAAGAATGTCCTTTGAAAAGCGAGCAACCAGAACGACGGTACTACACCGTTATCGAGAATGATGCGCCAGTATAGACACGAAGAGCAGCTTTGTTGCCGCACTCTTAGTTACGATGTTACCATACCTGCTAGTTACGATGTTACCATTCTTGCGTTCCTGCTTCCAACAGTTGTGCAACGTCCGAACCAATCACGATGACTATCCCAGCTGGCGACAGGCGAGCCTTCCGGTTAGCAGGGGTGGTATTGGCTTACGTCGCTCGGAGGAATTAGCACTCCCAGCCTTTCTGGCTTCGATTCACTCCGTTGCCGACCTGGTGTCTTTACTGCTCCCCAATCGACCGGCCGTCGATGTCTCTACAGCGCTGGAAATTTGGAAAACCAATGCCCGGTTGACAGAACTGCCTTCACCAGAATTCCGAAAGTCACAAAAAGCATGGGACCTCCCGTTGTGTAACGTGTCTCTCGCCACATTGTTAGAAGTATTCCGCGACGATGAGGTTAACAAGGCGCGTCTACTCGCTCAGTCGAGACCGGAAGCCGGTATTTGGCTTAATGCATTGCCATCGGCCCATATCGGCAACCTGCTCGACGATGACACGCTGAAAATCTCCGTCGGGCTCAGACTCGGCGCTAAGATCTGCGAACCGCACAACTGCGCGAAGTGTTACAAGCCTGTCGACTGCTACGCCCATCACGGTCTTTCGTGTTCTTTTTCCGCCGGCAGGCATCCACGGCATGGTGCCCTTAACAGTGTCGTATGCCGCGCATTCGTATCAGCCGGAATCCCTGCAAAACTGGAGCCTCGCGGCACTTCTAACACAAGTAGCAGACGTCCAGATGGATGCACAACATTTGCATGGCAGAGGGGCATGTGTCTAGCTTGGGATGTTACGTGTGTTGATACGGTTGCCGCTTCCCACGTCAAGTCTACATCGGCAAACGCGGGATCGGCCGCCGTTCAGGCAGAGGAAAGGAAGACCAGTTTATACTCTTATTTGGTCGGTCGTTACATTTTCGCGCCCATCGCTTTTGAGACAATGGGCCCTTGGGGACCGTCCGCCATTGCCATCATCAAAGAACTGGGAAAGCGTTTACGGACCCATTCAGGTGAAGTCCGCTCTCACGAATTTCTTCGGCAGCGATTGTCTATTGAGATACAACGCGGCAACGCCGCCTCTGTTTTGGGCACCGCAGAGAGAGCGGATATGTTTACTGAGCTCTTGTTTATTTAGCTGTTTCTTAAACCATGTACTCGTTTGGTTTGAATTAAAATTATCTGTTCAACCGTAATGGAAGCATACATGAAAGGCAAAAAAGCACATTATGCATGAACTAATAATGTTTTTCGAACTCCTTCCATGGTCGTTCACCATGCGATGAATACACCTTGAATATTACAACTGATGACATGATTGCAGTCTGTATCGGAAACGCTGAACTTGTCAGTGCAACGTGCAGTCTTCATATCAGTGAAGCGTCCACAATGAAACTGTCGTTCTAACACTTTCGTGGTACGAAATCTCCGTTATGTCTATGATGGTTTTCTTGCTGGCGGCAGGGTATAAAAGTCCCAGTGGCAGCAGCCACCAGCACTGAAAGTTTACGGGCAAACCATAAATGTGGCAGTCGCCACAGTGCTGAAATCCATTGTAGGCGGTAGCGGGTCCGATTATTTCGGACGCGTTATACTTTGGCCACACGGACGCGTTATACTTCGACCACCATACACACTGGTCTCCCGCCAGCTTCTACGTGGTCACCACCGGTGCGGCCTAGCTCCGCCTGATCGACCAGACCAAGCATGCCCTTTTCCACGAGGCGGTCCAGGTAGCGCTCGAGAGCTTCCCGGAATGAGAACGGGACCGGTTGCGCCTTGCGGAATGCCGGTGTCCCTCCGGGTTTCAGGTGCATGTGGGCTTTGTAGGGCAGGCAGTGGCCCAGATCTTTGCGGAATACGACGCTGTGCTTCGCTAGCAGTTCATCCACCGTGATTTTGGAGATGACGGGCGCGGATGCCGACTGGCGATCTCGCAAGCTCAACCAGCTAAGGCCGAGAGCCCGGTTATAGTCTCTGCCCAGTACATTGCCGCCCCTGACCGCAATGATAACGGGTAGCGATTTGTTGTTCCGGCCTTGCGTGAGGTTCGCTGTCACGGTGCCAAAGACCATCCGAGCGTGCGCAGCGATGCTTCGCAGGAGGGGCGCGTATAACGACAGCATAGGTAATCTGACCGACCGCCAAGTGTCGAAAGTCACTATGGTGCTGGAACCGGTATCCAAAACTAACAGGGGAACGCCGTTCAACTTGATCGACACGTGGATGGTTCGTCCAGCTGTTGCATCGACAGAAAACGGATCCATCTTCTCCTCTACGAGAAAGGTCCCGCGTTCACCCCGTCCGCGCTGCGGCTGCTTCGCGTTTCTGCGCACCTTCGCGATACGGCCTTTTCTTCCGCAGTTTTTTTAAGCCAGTTCCTTTGCCTAGCACTCCGTTTGGACATGATTCGATCTGCAGCCATCGGACACGTTCAATACCGCCGTTCAATACCGCCATATATATACAGCAGTGGGTTGCCTGTCAGGAACTGCGCCTCGCCGCTCCTGTCCGCCGCCGCAGTTTGCGCTCTGTGCGCTGCCATAGCGAGCTTTGTCCACTCGTGCTACATCCGGCGCCATACTACCCTTTTTGTTGCTCTTCCGGAGTCCGTATTCTTCGCTGGTCTCCAGAGCGTTCTCAAGAGTGGTGGTCTTGGAATGTAGCTTTTGGCGTGAAGCTTCGCTGACGATTCCGTTAAGGAAGATCGCCGACACACTCTTCCCGAGCACGGCGGCTGGAAATGCGCACGAAAACACCTTTCGTCGCAGGCGGTTAGAAAGGTCCACCCAGGTCTCGCCAGACTCTTGCTGGAGTTTGAAATAGTTGACCTATTCGGTGGCGGCATTCGTCTTCTTTAGATGGGCGTGTTCCAGCTTGTCGACGATCTGTGAGACAGTGAAATCGCCCGGATTGCACGGCAGACATGTGGAGAAGGACATCTGTCCAGCGTCAATGCCGCGCGAGTCCAATAACAGGCTCTTCTGGTCCTCGATATCCGTGACCTCGCGGAATTTAACGTAGCTTCTGTATCGAAACTGCCACCACCGCCGCGTCATACTGGCCGGTTCAAGCTTAATCAGGCCAGCTCAAGCTTTCTAGCGGGATGTCGTAGGGTATGATGTAGGCGTCGGGTAAGGCATCGTTATAAGAAGGCACCGCGTGAGGTCGTAAGCCTTCACGCCAGTTTGTCTCGGCGTAGAAATTAACATAGAATTGGATTGGTACTCGCTAGGTCGGTGACTAACCTGGTCAGCGAACGAAAGAACATTTAGCCGATAACGGTTTATATGCGAAAGGTCACAAGCAAATCGGGCAAACATTACATATATTCTTTTTAAACTTAATGCATTTGGTGTTAAAATGACATAGAAGTTTAATTTGCAAGAGCGATTTTGAGGAAAATTGCTTCAACCCAAATTACTCGTATTTACAAAAATCGAAACACAAAGAGTTGTTTCTGAAATTTGTGTAGTTTAAAATTTGTTTATCAAAAGAAGCCCCCGCAAGGCGCAGGAGGATTAATGGTCTTCTTTTTGGTTTTCAATATTTATGGTCTTCATGTTGTTCTATCTGAAATTTTGTCTGGTTCCCACCAGACTAGTTAATTATTAGGAAACCGTTGTAGACACCCCTTAATTATTATGCTTGTTTTTTCGGTTCATATTTCTGGGAGCTTCACCCCTGCCCCGGACCTAAAACAGTAAAACATCCAAGGGGTCAGCCTGTTGCACTCCCGTTCTGACAAGAGCTGAAATTTGAGTATGTTATATACTGCACATACACCCACAACACGATGGCTGTTTGTGAAACTAGCCAGCCTCTGGAAGTCGTTGTTTCTGTCGTCAAGCAGTTGTTCAAAACACTTTAAACGACGATTTTAAAAACTGCTCATTTAGCTAATGATCTGTTAGGAAAACCATGACCGCAACTCAATTTGCAGAAAAATGTGTTCTACAAGGATGTTTCGTCAACGTGGAAATCCATTACTGCAGTGGCTTATTGCCGCAAGCGCTTTGCACCATGAATTCGCTATCATAAATTCTGTTATACTGCGCACCTATAGTTTGCCCTGTTAGCGCTACGCTGAACTCTATCTGTATGATTGCTAAACCGCTCATGCAGCTAATGAGCGTATTTGCACCGGCCCCGCCCTTCTACCGCATATTAGGAATGCAGCAGGACAGTTGTGAAGGGTAATGCTACGGCCACATTTCAAGTGCGAAGGCCTTCGCACAGTGCGAAGGCGAAAAGTGCTAATAAGTGTGGGCGCAAAATGTTCTATGGGATCCTTCGCATCGAACAAAAAGTATGAGCGCCTTTCGCACTTTTTTCTTTAAACGAGTGCGAAGAGCGTTTTGGCACCGTTTTTGGTGGGAGGGATTTTCTTTTCTGAAGATTTTTTTGCGAAATGGCGTGGGATCAAAACGCTAGACAGCAGAATGGTCAACTACAGACGTTTTTTTTGGCAGAATGTTAGGACGCATTTTTCAAGGGAGGAATTCGATTCGGTTTGAGAGAATTACCGTATTTTTCGAATTTAAAGCCTCCTCCAAAATTGAAGCCTCCTCTATCGTATAAGCCTCCCCCCACCGTAGTTCGAAAATTTAGTAGCCTCCTCCGTATTAGAAGCCTCTCTCTATATACGGTGCATAGCAATTACGCTAGTTTAAAGGCTTTGAAAATTTAAAAGCCTCCTCTACAATATAAGCCTCCTCTGCTGTATAAGCCTCTCCCCAGGCACCTTTGAAAATTTAGAAGCCCAGGGCTTCTAATTCGAAAAATACGGTATTAACGATTACCTCATTATCACAATAACTTTAAGAATTATAAATTGAATCCGAAATGCAGTCGCTCTGGACCTGAAATCCCGTCAATTTTGCGCCCATGACCTGCCGACGGCGGAGCAAATCTCGGTTTCTTTTAGAAATTCAATGAAGTGTGAGTGCTCATATTTTAAGCAAATTTTGTTCTAACTTTTTCTTCGGTTCGCACCTCTCGCACTTTCTGGTGTGAATCAAAGAAATTCGAAGAATTCTGCATCGCACTTGAACTGTGCCCCTAGCATAATGGTGGAACTGGCAAAACTAGCGGTAGTAGTCACGAAAGTGAGCACAAGCAGCGGATGTCTTCTAAGTGTTTTTTTCTGAGTTATCAATAAAAGGTCGTTACCCAATCTGGGCATGGAAATACGGCTATACGCTATAGTAATACAATGCCTTGCCGTCTCCACTGCCTCATGCACTTGGGGTGACGTGGCATATTTTTGTACAGTTCAGAGAGACGTGCGCTATACGAGCACATTCATCATTCACAAAATTATGCTGTCTGTTGCTAGGAAGGCAGCACTTGTGAGTGCAACGGAGTCGGCTGTGACCAGCAGTGTCAGGATTGTGCGATATTCCTCAAATACTGGCAATTATGACTTATTTCACAGAATAAAATAAAAACCAGCACTATTTTTTGAAAAAAATTGTTTAGGGTAGGTATTACCAAATTTTTAACCAAGTAACCAATCATGCAAAACAAGTATAGAAAAACATTCGCTAACGTGAACGGGCGCACAATTAAATAGGAATAGGACCAGTTTTATCTTACTCGGTGATTTAAGCCTCAATTTTAGACGAATATAACAGATCTGGACAGTTAGTTTTAACTATTTAGCATAACGCGAGTTTTTTCCAAACCTTTCAGTTTGAGCGTAACTTTGTAGCGTGGCTCGCTACCCAAAAAGCGTAACTCGAATAAAAATTATATGCAAATCGTATTGTCCACTGTAGCGTAACTCGCGGTCTAACCCAAAACTCCGTCTACTTGGATAAATAGCGTTAATCGTAGCCTCACTCGCTGCTCCGGGTAACTCGTAACTTCAACGGTGGGTGAACTTTCCATAACTACCCAGAGATGAATTATGACACTATCCTGTCACCACTGGTGAGCCAACTGAAATTATTTTATTAATTGATAGTACAATGCTGTGCGAGTCTCGCAATGCATTGTACTATCACTACGAGTATCATAGTTCATACCATACCGTTCAACACTGGTGCCATCGCCATGTGCAGGGTTACGTACACGTTGCTACGCGTTGCTTGAATAAGATCAAAACCGCGAAAGAGATAAGACAAAGTATGACACTTAAATGATAAGAAATGATTTTTTCAAACTTGATAATATGCTGAATAAGTAGTACAACAAAATTCTTATGTTCAAAATCGTAAACGTTATGATTTTGACGAAGAATTTTGCGAAGAATTTCTCTAATCAGGAGCTTCCGTGAAATCTTTAAGTATGTAGTAATACTAGGTACGGTAACGCGCGCAGACTGCAATGAGTATGTATTATATATACTGTGCTTTGCTAGTTATTACTCAGATGAGAAACGACACTCTTTCGAATCATTCCTGCTAATTACGAGTTACTGCGCGTAGTCATCCGATGAGCTCATTCCGCTTCCCACTGATTCTTGGTTAACTATTTTAGCCTGGTCGTTTTTGCTTTGGGTTAATCTAAGTACTGATATAATCTTCGAGGACCAACAAGTGTTCAGGAAGGACGGTGGATATTAAGCAAGCGAGGTACGTGGTAAGTTGTAGGCCTGCTGCAAAAACAGTGCACGTTTCTGAGAAGTCGCCATCAAATTAAAAGGAAGGTTTGGCGCGTTTTTGAATTGAAAATAATTTCGCTCGAAACGCAAGCTTCGACGAAAATCATAACGAAAATAAGCGTACCTTATCGTTCACAGTGCCAAGTTATTTTGAAAATCCCGCGTTTCTCCACGTTTTGATGGGCGGGGTCTTTTAAAATAGTTTGAACAAATGTATTACGCATTGAGAAAGAGAATACATCCGCATGGCTTTTTGTGATGATTTGTGATGTTCTTGTCATGTATGGCCTTTGCATCGCAGCAGGAAACAAAGCTAGCTGGTTACTTTCCGTAACAGATTTCATGTACATTCTGTGCTTCCGCGCTTGAGTTGACTTAGCAACAAACTGCCATTACTACTACTACTACTGAAGAGCCTTACATGATATATCCCCGAAAATAATTTTTTACATACTGCATTCAAGTTTATTGAAAGCGGGATGATTTATCGTGGTTGTACTTTTTTACACTTTTTCAATATTTTTGACAGTACAGTACTTTGTCAGATAAAACAAATTTAATGCATCCATAGCATCTCAGTGGGGCTTTAAAATTGATTTTTATTGACCCAAAAGAATTGCTAATCATAAGTTTTTTTTCGGGATCTCTTACCAGTTATACAAAATACATTTTTTATTTCCAAATTTCAAAATTTTAGCTATTTGTTTGTTTATAAATACTCCAGATTTTTTCCATCGAATCCTTCCCTTTGTTAACTGTTTTTCTAATGAATAAAGAAACTGAAAATCTTGTTTCAGCTTTTGCTGCTTGAACCGCCACAAACGCGAGAGTTAAGGAAACACCAGAAAATCATGCATTTAACAAACTGCAATTTTGCCGAAAGAACACAGCATTCCCAATTCATTATTTACGAATATTAGCATTATAGTAACATTTTTGAGACTGAGCTCGCAATATTTTCCAAGACTGAGCAATACTGATAATACTCAGCAGCGCTTTGCAATATCTAGCGAATTTTGCAGTAGTCTGGAATATTTAGGAATATTTTGTAATATTTAGAAATTTTAGTAATCTTTAAAAAACATTTGGAAATTTTCAAAAATATTTAAAGTTAATTTCATTCGTCTTAATTAGGTAGGGTGTTGCGTGCATCGATTTTTCAAATAAGTTCGTGGCCGTGAAGTAGGAAAAGCCTGTCCTTTTTGTCTATAGATTTCCTGCGCACTGTCAATTTCTTTGTCAACCGCCTCTTCATTATTAACCATTAATAGGTATCTGATATCAAGTACAAAGTCACTACAAACTCAGTACCACAAACATAATTATTATTACAGAAACACTTCTCCTACGCTTTCATGGTGCCCACCGATTCCACTGACGGTAGAAATTCAGCTTAACGCAAGAAAAGCGTTTCTGCGATCTCAGAAGTTGTATTGTATATGAATTAATAGCGCCGAGCTCGAATTTAGTGCTGAAAAATTTATCTGAGGCATGTGGAAGTAGTTTGCACAGATGTTGTAATAATCTTGTAAAATTCTGATCCGCTATCTAGCCAGCAATCTATGGACTAGAGATCATCTTTCACAAACCTCAAACCTTTTTTTGATACTTACAATATTTGAGATCACCTTTAATAATTTATTCAGAACCGAATTTATACAAACGATATTCCGAAAAAATTAAAAGAAATTATTTCTAGATTAGAATAACTTGCTGAATAATAGAGACTAGAGATCATCTTCCACAAATCTCAAACCTGTTTTTGATACTTACAATATTCGAGCTCACCCTTAATAATTTACTTAGAAACAAATTTATACGAACGATATTCCGAAAAAAGTTATAGAAGTTATTTCTAGATTAGAATAATTCGCTGAATAGCAAATAACACGTGGACAGATTTGGCTCAGAAATATTTTATGGATGATTGGGGTTTAGAGTACTGTATTTACACGAGTTTAACCCGTTCCACACTATGCGTGTTAGACCGACATGGTAGAGGACTTCTTCTCTGTAGTCCGTTGTTATGATCATAGGTTGTTTCTATTGGTTTTGTTTCAAAGAAGTTATGTTAGACGACAGTTTAAAATATATAACCGTAAGCTGGGTCATATCCGGAAGGTCCAGAGGGTGACCAAACATGCTCAAAACTGACCAAACTGGGCTCCCGGAGGTCCTGCTTGTCTGTACAGCCACCCCCACATCAGATAATTACCAACAAAATCACAGGAGAACTAATTGCGGAGTTTTATAAAAACATGAAGCAAAGTTCCGAAAATTAACGCCCACTGGCCAGTACTGGTCACTTGAAAATCCCATGTCGGTTATGACACGGTTGGGCACGGTACTATTTTATTAATAAGTGTCAAAATTCATATTAATTGACAGAAGCGTCCTACAAGACACAATAAACAATCAAAATAAAGCTAAAAAAAGCTGTATTAACTGACTTGTACATAGTGGTCAGTGAAGTGACCATTGGTCAGCAATGACCGGAAATTCGAAAAACGTAATTTTTGACTAAACGCAATTAAAATTAATGTGAAGAAAAGGCAAACAAGTTGTGTAATGACCGCTGTGAGTAGCTCTGAAATTGCTATGACCCGTATTACCCGGAACAATCAGAATTCAAAAGATTTTGCAGTGTAACTGCTTGCGTATGGAACGCCGTTATTGCCATGTATTGTAACCTACCAGCTATTCATTGTTTCAGAGAAAAATCGTATATTCTTTGCAGATTATATCGGAGTTAAACTGTATTAATGAGTGTGAAATCTTGCAAAAATTATTAATCTCGTGTCTACACTTCGCTAATTGAGCATCAAAAACATTTGAACCTTCCGGTTCATGAGCGCTTGTAACCTTTGGAAACCAGTCTGTGCAAAGCGGTCGGTATAACGGAAGAGAGCATTTGGGAGTAAAGGCAGCCTCCGTTTATGCAACTAAGCATTATTTAGCAGCGGTGCCGACATAGACAGTGCAAAGTATAATCAATCACTCCCACACAATTTGGATAATTCGTGATGCTTAGGGAGTCGGCTAGCCTACCACCACAAGTCGACTAACAGAACTGCCTCCTTTGTAAATACGAGCATTTGTTGTTTTCTTTAAAAGTTTAAACGTAAGTTAGATTGTACGAGTAGGCTTTTTGGCAGGGCTTTATTGACCCTACTGCGCGATACCCTCGTTTTCTCACAACTGGTCACTCGTACAACACTTTGAGAATACTCTTATGTTGTCTACGCGTTACTGACATCCCCTCGTATGCTTCCTGCTAGCAATCTCTGCTATAGTGTTCGGTTGCACAACCGGGAATAGTATTACTTCCACTGTGCGTCACCAGGACTGTGGTCAGCAATAGGTCAAGTGCCCAATTGTCCAAACCGTAGAGCAGAAGTGACCAACTGTTGCGAAATATCGAAGTAGCGCTTATGTACTAGTGCATATTAGGATGTTTTCGTTTCTAAATTTTCCTTGACCACTGGTCATCTTGATGACCATCGTAATGCACCTGTGTTCAAGTACTCGTTGAGACCTATCGTTTAAGCGATTGGCATATTCTGTGCGATTTTTCTATCGCCTGTTATAAACGGCAATAAATAACATGTCGGAGCAACATGGTTCCCAAGCGTGTTAGCTCGACATGGTCATCTCCTGCTTGACCTATGGTAGCGAAAATTCTGAAAAAAATATTTTTTTCTTAATTGAATTTTTTTATCCCAAACTACCAATTTTCAAAACTATAGTCCCATCCCTTCTAGTACCCGGTTTTCCTGGGTTAAGAGCCACAAAAATGCCCTAATCCGCCTGTGTGCACCATGGACAAGCAGCTACGTTCAAAATCGTTCAGCAAGAACGCTGCGCGTGTTCACTGCCCAAGTGAGCAATTTTGAGCAATTTTCTGTAATTAGGTATTCCATTACTCTTTATTTCATGTTTCTGCCAATAATACTATTTTTGGATATCCAGCAGTTATTGACAAGTTCAACGGCTAACAATTTATAATTCGTCACTAAAAGAATCTTCTAAATCGAGTTCGCAGCTCATATCGAGAGAACTGGTGCCGTTTGGGCAATCGTCCATATCTGTGTTTTCTTTGTCTTCGAGTGCTTCAGTTTTGCTTGAAGCCACAGAGACAAAATTCAGGATATCCTGCCGAGAAGGGTTTCTCAAATAGCCAGATTTTGTCGTCTCATGATGCTGCCTCCGCCACTTATGATACTTATCCTGATAATAAAGTTTTGAACGGTCGATTAACACCGACATCCAGGGGCTAATAAAAACCCGTCATAGCAACAGGTATGAACACCTGTCGAATGTTGCGCTCTTCGAGAAGGTCCGCTGATGGTTTCATTTTGTGAACGCAAAACTGGTCCCTGATTAATACTTTTGGATATCCATTTTCTTCAAACGTGTCTTTTATCCACTTATGGTCGAGCAGCTCGTTCCACCAGGACGATTTAGAGCTCAGTACACGTACATTTTCTGGGATATCCAGCTTCTTCATGATCCTTTCCGACAGCACACCTGTTCTGGCATTACCCTTGAAAACAATGACAGCAGGTAGTTTTTCTCCGCTTGCTGATATCGCGAGGCGGATCGTGAAGCCTTCTTTCTCTGCCGCCGCAGTAACGACTGAAACTTGTTTGACTCCGGACTCATTAATTGTTCGCTGTTTCGAGCGAACGTATTTCACATTAGTCTGATCAAAGTTCAAAATATCTTTCTCTGGTGTTTGTTGGATATCCACAATTTCGACCAGCTCATCCAAAAATCGCTCTTGACCAGCCTAAGAAAAGCAAAAAATAATAAACCAGAATTGTCGAACGAAAACGCAAAAAATGATTAAAAATTACAATTGAGCTTACAATGTCTTTTTCAGAAAACTTTTCTTTCCGAGCAGTGTGCGTGACTGCTCGTGAGGACAGATGTTGTCGTGCCATAAATTTGGAAATCCAGCCGTTAGATGCATTGAATT